AAGAAGATTAATTTAAAGCCTCGTGTCTTAGAAAATCGCCTGTAAAGACACTGTGTTTGCTCGGTCGGAGCTTCTGTCACCCTAGACAGCCACGCGTGATCGTTAAAAACTAAAAAAATAGGACACTTGTCGGCGTAAAACTCGCTTTTCCGTAATCTATTTATTCCAGTTTACGAATCCTTTTTGTAGGCATCGCGTGCAGTACACTTGTTGTCCACAGCGGTGCTGTCTCCTTTCTCACCACTAGCATTCAATGGCTGCGCAGCAGGAGTCTGCCGCAGCCGTATTCATGCCCATCCTATAACAATGTTGTAAAGCAGACGATCATTGGCTAAAGCTACGGGAGGCTGCAGTGTGTTGCTCGGGATTGTTGATTAAGCGGACGACATGGCGCTAAAAAAATAAAAAAAGCACAAGTGTGTACTGCTCCGCGAAGCATTATGAAAGTCAATCGCTAGGAACGAGTGCAAACAATACTAAAAGTTGACATGTTTTTTGTAACTAACGTAAACAATAATAGTCTATGCAAAAGCTTGCTTATTCGTCATCAGCGATATCTTCTTCCAATTCATCTTCAATGTCATCATCAGGTCGCATTTTGTGCTCGCGTGCGATCGGAGGATTCATTCCAGCCTCCCGAGAGCCTGTGCGACTGCTCTGTGCCTCTCGTGAGCCCGTACGACTAGTCGACTGCTTGGAGTCGCTGACAAAGAGTCTACCGTGTCTATCATCTCCGATGAAAATTCCTAGCTTTGCTTGCACAGCCTCCACTATTTTCGAGTCGACATACGACTTGAGTATTAATCCTTTTCGCTTCATTTCCTCCATCACCTCTAGGCTCTTATTTAGCTCACCCTCCTCGTAGTACGCTTCAGCTAACATGGCATATCCATCACCCATACGAATAGCCTCGTCAATGTTTGGCTCCTGTAGTAACTTCGTGACGATATCTATCACTCCCATCGGGTTGTGCTTCGCCTGCTGCCGCGCCACAATATATTGTTCAATAAGCAAAATTCGCTTTTCATAGCGCTTCAGCAATGCGTCTTTTCCAGCAGCGCGAGACTTAGACGAAACCTGCACGGCTTCTTGTAAAGCAGTTATTGCCTTCTCGTAATTACGATATTCCTCGATCTCGACCTGTGCGCAGCCAGCATAAAATGCTGCGAGCTGCTCAAAAGCGCGAGCTTTCGTGTAAAAGCTTGTGATGTTTTTGAGAATGTCAGCATCTTTGCGCCAATTAAGATTCTGTAAGTAATTTGCAGCTAGAACGAAGATTTGAGCGTTGCGCGACACATTGGCAAAAAACACCACCTTTTCAGTGTCGCCTGACTTAAGCAAACATTTCATAGCCTTGAGTTTGTTGCCGGCCTGTGTGTACTTTTTTGTGGCCAAGTGGTACGAGCCTTGCTTTTTACAGCATTTGGCCAATCTGAGCAATAAGTCCGACCGTCGTTTTTTGTCTGCAGGTGTAGCAGTATCATCACCTTTCGGTGGTGTCATCTTCTCGGCCATATCATCGGTTATATATACATTCTGCTGCATGCACACATCAAGTGCTTCAGTCACTCGATTCCCAATCAAACACAAATGTACGGCTTTGGCGTACTGGCCGTTTGCAATAAAAAAGTCTACACATTTCTTTAGAATTGTCGGTGACGTGTTACCAGAACCATTGAGCTCGTCTGTGAGGTGGTGTAACTCTTCAAAAAGCTGCGCTTGAAAGCACAAATCAAGAGCTTTGGCCACATTCCCTCCTTTGTGGTACAAGTGGACTGCTTTCTCCATTTCACGGTGCCTCTCAAAATATGCCGCGCAATCGAGCATATCAACAGGTTTACTCATCAGCGCAAAGCCCATGAGATCTGCATCCATACGGTGCTCCTTCGCGAGACGAATTGCATGATTATAACAGCCACTGCTGCCAAAGAAGTGGATCGCGTTGGAGAGGTCATTCTGCGCTTCGAATTGTCGGGCCAAATGATAAGCAGCCGCGCGATTCCCACTAGACTGTGCCACCTTGACAGCTGCATGAAAATCTTTTTTAAAGCATAAGACACGAACAGTGGACAAATGATCCTTGGCACGTTGATAGCAATCTATCGCAACTTCAAAATGGCCCTGACTTTCTTGAAACTGTGCCCACCAAATCAGTAATTCGCGGTCAGTCGACGTGGCAATGTATTTTTGCAATAGATCAATCTTTCCTAGTTTAAAAAGCATTCGTGGTATGTCTCTATGATGAGTACCGGCATCTTCATAAGCATCCATTGCATCCTTCAAGTCACCCATTTCCTCATAGTGTCGTGCTAGTGCATAATACGTCGTTCTCATGTGAATTCGGTCGCGTTTGGCTGCTACATCAACAGCTTTCTTCCAGTGCCCGCTTGCTTGGTACAGCTTATTGAGCAAATCGAAGCGTCCGCACTCACGATAAAGCCGAGCTGCATCATCGCGTAGACCAAGCTGAATCGCCACCATAGCAATCGCTACTTCCGGCTCAGGCTCCTTTTTGGCCTCCGCTACAGCTGCTGCACCACGGGCGTGCCCCATGTTTCCGAGGCATACTTCAGCAACATCCAAACGCTTTGTTTTGACGCACATGCGCGCCATATTTTCCCAAACAGACGAATTCTCAATGAGTTTTACAGATCGATAGGCCTCATCCATGTTGCCCACTGTCATAAAGTAGCAGAAATCAATAAGAGCTTGTTTAGCCTCATTATTAACCTTGTCCAGGCCTGTGAAGTCACGCATGATCTGCGTCCGAAGATAGCTTGAGGCATCATATACCATTGGACTTTTCGTGAGGGGGTTCTCTGCTGCTGTACGACCAACGTGAACTACAGTGTTGGAGTCTTCTGATGAATTATTCTCAGCTTTTGCTACGAAGTAGATTCGTGGGACTTGGAGGCCTAGCAGCGCTGTGTACTTCAGATCAAGGTCAAAGGTGTCTTGCATAAGAAGACCGTGTTCGTTTGAAGCAAAAAGAATAGTGATTTCCTTGTCAGATACTTGAATCCCTCGGGAGCCACCACCACCACCTCCTTCGTCGGTACTTGAGTTTCGACGAATCGTGCTATTCCCTGTGCCGATCAAAACCCGATTGACCCCTGTCTTAACAGTCTCGCAAACAAGTAGACGGGGCTCTTGTGCATCAAAGAAGACAGATGTAGGGACACATAAAGATCCGAAGTCGAATTGCTGATAAACATTGAGATCCGTCTGGAACAAAAAAAGCTTGCTAAGAGGCTGACGTATTCGTAATCCACCTTCAATTTTTTCGGCTAGAATGCAAATACGTGTACCATCTGCATTCACACAAATTGATTGCATTACAGCAGCCTTGGTATCTGCGCCAAAAGCTTCATGAAGATGACCCATACTTCCAAGAGCTTTCGGATCACGGCGAGATACGTCGAAGACCCGTAGATGACCACGGTCCGTGCCCACAGCAAGGAATTTGTTTTGTAGCGAGAGCAGCGCTGGCCGGCCCTCAGCTTCTGTGAAGGAAATTGTGTTCTTAACAACGCCAGCAAGATTACAGATTTCTACGTGATTGCCATTCGTTCGATATATTGATTCACCTCGTAGTACCATTGAGCTGGAAAAAGACTGAAAGTGGTTTGTTAGCGCCACGTCACCGTCCTTCATCTCGTATACTTCTGCTTTTGAGCCGTTCCAAACAACGAGTGTGGACCCGTCGTGCGAAATACCTTTCACACGCAGGGAAGCATCGACCTGCGATTGTGTGATGATCACCCCCGAGTGCTCTCCATCTTGGAACTTTTCAATTGATAGCGTCTTAGGACGGATCTGAATGACGGCAGTATCGCCGCAGAACGCACGTTGCATATTGCCCTCATGAAATATGACGACACCTTCAACAGTATTAGCATACAAGGTGGAATGTGCATTACTCCAGCCGATGCGCGTGACAGCTCGCCCTAATTCAGCTGTGAATAGAAGGTCCCAACGATACGACACAATAAGCGAATCCTCGTTGCTCTGAGCATTGTTGTCAGCAAAAGATGTAGCACGCCAGAAAAACACGGCTCCTTGAGTTGTTCCGGCCGCGAGAATACGCCTTCTCGGGGAGAAACTTAAGTTCTTGACGTTGTAAATGAGCCCACTCGACTTTGGCAAACTCAGGATGCTGTTTTCTTCGGTACAAATGTTCCAGAACCGCACTATAGGCTCACCTGATGCAATTGCTAGTAAACCAGGGCTAGCCCACTTCGTTTCAAGCAATGCTCCTTCTCCTGCGAGGCTAAGCTTCACTTTTGTAATCGGTTTCACTGTTCCGTCCGTTGCATCTACTTGAAAAACCACAAGCTGGGCTGCCCGTGTGATGACAATAAGACGGTTACCCTCTTCGTAAAACATCATGGAATCGACTGCATGATTCAAAACTTGAATATCAGATATATGCCCGAGATCGTCAGCAAAGTGCACCGAAGCTGCTTCGCCACCAAAAAAAAACTGCGGACATATGAGTGAATATTGATCACTAAGTGGCCAATGCAAGTTAGTTGCTAAAATCTTTGAACAAAATCGTCAAACTTACTGTTTGGTGTTAATATCCTTTGACAGGGCAGTACGTGTTGCAAAGACGCAATGGGTCATGCTACCATGGCGCGCATACTGCGTGCTGAGCGTAAGCTGGCAGCGGCTGTCCACTTTCCAGACGGCGAGTATTCCATCTTCGTCTGCAGAAATGAGCCGGTTACCAGCCGGCGCCCACTTCAATAAGCATACGCGGCTCGAGTGTGGAGAATTCACCTCGCGTGCCGCTTGCTCATGAAGTATCCACAGCGATATCATTCCTACATGATCACAGACAGTCAATTAGCGACACCCATTTATTAACTTCTGCTCTTCACATTACCATCGCTCCAACCGACGGCAAGTGCCCCACCACGAGGCTGCCAGGCCATCGTAACGACATCCGCCGAACGAGAGCAGCTTTCCAGCCCTTGTTGCTTTTCACCCTGCAATGGCCAGTAATATGATTAATTTTAGCAGAGCAAGTTTATCAAATATCTTGATGTGCTACGACTAATCTAAACCTCATCTGTAAAAAAGTTGATCTCCCGATTTTCCAATGCGACAGCAAGCACAGGGTCCAGCTCTCCCCAAACCGAGCATATTTGCCGTACATTGGCGGGCACTGCCACATTATAGTCGTAGAATAAAGCCATGCGTCACGATAACAATGGCACCCAGATCCTGGAACGCGTCGCTTCAAGATCGGATATGCATCCGATGAATTTGACATAAAAGGAATTTTAAAATGACATAAATTTTCTTCAAAAACTTGATATTCGTCGTTCTAAAATACAATTGACTGGTTGCAATTGGAATGGCCATTCAAGCTAAGATGTCTACGCCTAGGAGCAACAAAGGCTACAACAATGCCAGAGGTGCTTTAACTGCAAGAAAGCGTCCGGCTGGCGGCAATAATGAGACTAGCAAAAAGTCATTTGTAGACCAGAAGCTGGCCAAGAAGCAGCGCAAGATGCAACGTCCGCATTATGAGATGGTCACGCGTGCCAAGCAGATCTGGAACGTCATCCGCGAACGTGATGTAGATAAGGACAAGCGTGCTACACTTGTTAATGAGCTATTTACTTTGGTCAAGGGTAAAATTTACGATGTGGCTGCCAAGCACGATGCTTCACGCGTTATCCAATCGCTCATGCAGCACGGCAAGCCTGCACACCGTTCGCAGATTGTGCTTGAGATGAAGGAACATCTAATTGAAGTGGCTAAAATGCAATACGGGTGTTTTCTTGTACAGAAAATGATCCGTTATGGTAGCATAGCCGATCGTGCCACCATTGTCAAATGTCTTATTGGCCACGTCGTGCAAGTTGGCACACACAACATCGCTGCCAATGTGCTTGAATATGCGCAGGAGTATTTAAACCCATCTCAGCTTACAACACTGAAGCTTGAGTTTTACGGACGTGAATTTGCTTATTTTCAGACGGAAAGTAAGCGCAACTTGACAGACATTATAGCTGCACACCCAGACAAGAAGGCTGACGTGCTCAAGCATCTTGGTGCTATCTTAAACCGGATGGTGGACAAGCAGCTTCTCGGTCTAGCTTTTGTGCAGTCACTGCTGTGGGAATATATGTGCAATGCAGAGCATAACGATGTCATGCAGATGGTGGCTAATGTGCGTGATGCCTCGCTGGCGCTTCTCGCCACACGAAATGGAGCTCGTGTAGTGAACAAATGCGTATCGCTCGGTGCAGCTAAAGATCGGAAGCGCATCATTAAGTCTTTAAAAGACAAGGTGCTTGAGGCCTGCAATCACCCAAGTGGCTATCTCGTTATTATGCGTATCTTGGACGTTGTAGATGATTCCATCCTTGTTCAAAAGTCTATTCTGGCAGAAATAAATGACGAGCTCTTGTCAATTGCGCTGCATCCAAGCGGACGCAAGATTTTGCTTCAGCTGCTCAGTCCATTAAACAATAAGTATCTTTCGGCAGATGACTTTAAGCTGCTGGAACCGCCTATGCTTCCATCGCCTGAAGACCCAACCGTGAACGTGGTCAACTACAAGAAAGATCCAGATGCTCGGCGCGAGGAGTTGCTGCTCGGTCTGCTGCCCAAGTTGGTAGACATGTGCGCTAAAAATGTGGAGGTTTTGATGCGATCGAAGGAGGGCCGGGATGTGATTGTTGAGGTAGCCAAGCGATGCGACAGTTTGGAGCTGTTGGATAGCATTTCCTCTACTGTAATGACACAACGCACTGACGAAGAAAAAGATCTTCTTTACAACGATGCCATTGGACACTACGCATTGCGCCGTCTTATTAAGGAAACGGCACTCGCAGAACCTCTGCTTGTAGCTGTTGAAAAGCAGCTATCGCAATGGGCAATCAGCAACCGTGGCTCTTTTGTGGTCCTTGCATTTCTGGAGGCTGAAAATTCCCCACAGAATACAATGGAAGTGGTAAAGAGAGCCCTCAAGCCTGTGATGAAAGATTTAAGGAAATTAGTCGACACGCAGAAAGGCACAATGTTACTTCTTGAGAAACTTCAATAGGAAGAAGGAGCGCAACTTTGTAATTTTCAAATCTGTTGTTTGCTGTTTTCTGTGTTTTTTTTCATCGTCTTCTCCTTGCATCTCTATACTCGTCGTGAGGTTCTAGCACTGTGTATACGCAAGATTTCGAAGACTCATTCATCGAATTACTGAAATTAAATGAAATAGCCCACATTTCGCTCATCGACCGACGCACCCGAATCTGTTATGTAAGCTTGTTTATATTACCAGTTAAAACGTCAGCCTTTCCAATGTTAAAAATTTAGTCGGCACGTGAATTGGCCAAACGACGAACTTTATACAGATGTCAAAGCGACTAGCATACAGCAAAACATTTTTGCTGTCCCTACTTCTAGAAGGCGTGCCGTAGCGTCTTGCAGACAGCTAGACTCCAATAAATATGTTAATCTGAAGAATGCGCTCATTGAAAGAACCGATGTTTTTGCTTCAAATTATTTCATTACGCTTTTCAATTTTGCCTTATTTCGATCCATAGCAGAAGAACGAATGATTAACTTTTCTCTCATAGCTTTTGGATAGTGATTCAGTGGGGTCAGCTTCAGCAGCGTGACATACAATGGCTCGTTGGTCTGCATAAAGCAGCGATAAATCGCAAAGTATTTTAAGTCTGCCAGCTAGAATAAAAATTCGTTGTAACGTCTTGCCCACAAACACACAGCTGACCAATTTGAGATGCGGTTGTGTCTTCCGATAGGATATAACTTGTTTCATTTATGATATTTAAAGAGGCTTTCCGGTTTTACCACAGTCATGTCACCTTTAATGTCGTGGATGCGGAAATGATGTTTATTAAAATGTTCTTCTTTTGGTATACTCAGTAGCTTACACTTCTATAGTTAGAACAAATTATAACTAGATTTCAGAAATGTTACAAGCCGCGCACGTCTAATACGCCGCCCTTGAATCGTCCTTTGGTGGCCTGTACGCCATAGTCAACTTTCTTTCGCTTCTGCTGGTCTATTGATCTTACGCTCGATTTTCGCTTGCCCGTTACCACATCTGACTCCTTCAGCTAAATAGTACAAAACGAAAGCTCACTACTATTCTAATTTGGCCATTAAAATTAAAAAAACGTACCAATTTCTCGCGACGTTGTTTACTGGCAAAACCTTTAGTTCTCAACCCGACAAGAATTTTATACGGCACACTTCGATTCTTAGCGGCCTTTCCACCAAGAGCCTCAATTTTTTTGGCCTCGTGCTTCTTCTTGTCTTTTCCTTTCAAGCTCGACGAAGCTGTCGTCATTGATGCGTTAAGAAGTAATCATCTTTTTGCAATGGTATCATTCCTTTTTAAGAAAACGTACCAAAATCTAATACTGAGGCAAACGTTTCGTCAAATTCCTTGCGTATCTCCTCACGCATTGTCATCTCTGGTTCATTTTCGTTGCCTTTTTTCTGGTAACAAACAGTAGTTCAAACAACAATTGATGACAAGAATCGGAGCAAGACATGAGAGACCAGCTTAATACCCGTGCAGTGAAAGGTTTGCACTCCTTCCAAGTCTCCGTAGGACACTCAAACACTTGAACTTTCTTCTTGCCGGTGGCCACAGGAAACTTGAGCGCCATGCCGAAGTTTCTATTGCCCAGTTATCGATAAACGTGGTCCACATTATTTGAATATAGCATTTGTTTATGCAATTTAATTATGAGACTTATCAAAATAGTACTTAAATCACACCAGTACTTGAACCTGGAATGGGCTATTGTTGGCTGAACTGACGTCTTTTTCGTGATCGTCGCGCTTCTCAAGATCCTCTGCATCATCTTGAACATCTTCATCATCATCACCATCGTCGTCGCTGTAGAAGCTACTGCCAAGATCGGAGTCGAGAACACTGTTGTGGGATCCACTTTCAAACCCTTCAAATCTGTCTTCACTGATCCCTACCTGTTCAAAGTCATAGAAACCTCGGCTTTTTATAACTCGGCTGCTTCGAAGAGGATGCGCACGTTGATTAGTACGCTGTCGATCTGCCGAAGTTGGAGAGCTAGTGGTGCGAGGCAATGGCCCTTTATTGCCTTGCTCCTTTAACTGGGGGCTCAGAGGCACAAAAACGCTATCGCCAACTAATGACTGATTCAGCAGACTTTCGTCGTCAGCTAGTACAGCTGGATTCGGCTGGTATTGCGACAATCGCTGGAATTGCGGTGTGTCGATTAGATTATTATCAATCCATTTTTGAGGTGTGAGTGCTGAAAACTCCGCCATGGACATCGGAGCTAACGGCTTCCTCCGTCTTCCTGGAATTGATGGCTGATCGTCATCAATATTGAGCGTGCCCAAGGATTGACAAATTTGATTCAGTTGCGCATACGCTACATTATTAGAAAACCTGTCTCGGTCAGTTGCAATCTCGCTTTCACCAGATGCGTTGTTCCTTTGGAGTCCGGCCGGCTGGACAGATGAATCTTGATACTGAAGTGATGTGTATTGATAACTAGCATGCTGTTTGGCGGTTCGTTGAGCTTCTTGTTGAGCTAATTGCTGTGCCTGATGGATCTGTAGGTCATCCTGTTGCTGCTCGTATAAAGCCCGCTGTGCGTCCACAAGGCTGGCCATTTTTTCGTTTTCCAATTGCAGCAACGCTCTCTGTACTCGCAAATCTTCTTTTTCATGACGCACTTCATCTCGTTCACGACGTAATTCTTCGCGTTCACGGCGAATCTCTGCCAGCAGTGATCGGTATTCTTCGATCATGTGGCTCTGTTGATCCAAATGTTGATAAGAGGCCTGTGTCTCAGCAGCAGAAGGATATGCTTGCCTCACAGCAAGGTTATTTGGCCAGCCTTGGCCAAATGAATTTCGCTTTTCATTCCTCGAACTACTCAAAGCATCATCGTTGGGCATTTGAAACCGCGACGGTGCAGGTGGAGGTTGCCGTGGGTCCAATAAATTGGGCTTGTCAAATTGTCCATTTCTTAAATAGAGATCAGGTGAGTCAGCTTCCTCTTTTGAATCATTGTTATATGGGGGATTGTTGTTTTTTGACGGTTGGATGTTAATTTCTGGTCCATTCAATGACGTCTCTGGCCTGAAGGCATGATGAATGGCGTTTTCTTCTGTTAAATCCTCAATAGATGCAGTACCAAAAGCCGGCGAGAACTTTCCGAGCCGTCGCTGCGCTTGTAACTGCTGCTGTCGCAGATAGCGAACCTCCTCTTTAGCTGCCTCCTCTTCACTGCGCCGGCGCTCAGCCTCCTCTTGCTTCTTGAATCGTTCTTTCTCCTGTACTTGATCATCTAAAATTTGTTTCCATCGCATCTGCTGTGCGCGCTCTCGTACCCTTTGACTCGTTTCGCTCTCGTCTATCACGCGAAAGCGTGGATGGGAGGACGACAAACTGTTCGCCTCACCTGTAGCGGCACCACGATCCTGTTGTTGATTTTCGTGATATTTCGTACTCTGTGTAAACTTCCAAGGTGTACGGGAAATCGTAGGAAGGTCCAATTGTCCACCTTCGACCAGCCACTTAGAAGGTGAGCGGTCGCTTGGCGCCAGCTTACGCTCGAGCTCTTCACGCTCCAGCTGTTCTTGGTGCTGACGCGCTCGACGCAGCGCAATTTGGTGATCAAGTTCTCGGGCATAAGCTTCTCGTTGACGCTGGATCTCACGCGGGTCGTCGTCGCGGAGTCTAGACTCGGGAGTCCACATCGGACCTTGTGCTTGTCGAACGACATGGCCCTAGCATGATCGGTTTTAAGAGGGAAACAATTTGATTGGTTGATAAAAAGGCACCAGTAATGTGGTAATGAACAACCAGCAAAACCGCAGCAAAAGCTGACCAAGAGAACCGAAGTAAATGTGTAAAGAACTATTTAAATACAAGAGCACGAAGTCAAAAACATTTTCTTTTTGGATGGCGAGAAATAAAGCGCGCCATTATTTTCTGTAGTGGGGGCGTTGTATCAGAGTGAGTACGTCAGACATTGTTTTGTTTTTATATTCTGTTTTGACAAATAAGCACAATGTATTTCTCCTTCGATATTAACCGTACAAGTGATACGTTTGATTGCCGACTCGAGTTCTATAGCTACTTAAAAAATAACTGACAAATGGGATTGCTACCACTTCCAAAATCAAATCGGCTGTATTGCACCTCTCATACTACGGTAAGTTGCATACGTCTTAGATGACAAACACGAGTCGCTTCCGTAAAATCACCAAGGAATGGTCCGTGGAGCATGTAGACCGCATGCACATAGGACCCTCGCAATTATACCCCTCTCGAGATCCACCCGAGGATCACGCTTCTCCGTAAGGCAAACTGTAACGGGGTAACACGTACCCTTATATGAAAGGACGGGTTGAACAAGATGGTGCGACCATACGTAGGTGTGTATTACAAAAGTTAGTGTGTTATGGCTACACCGTAACAAGAAGCCGCCACATAGCAGGAATGCCAGTAGTAATGCATATTACTATATTAGATAGATTTCACAATATAAATTAATTATTACTATATTTATTAGAAAAACCTTGGGTTTTAGATAATGGCGGCTCTGCCGTAACTAAAACAATAAAATAAAGTACGTGTAACGGGGTTACACGTACCCTGGTAACAGGGGGGGTGTCACACGAGATGGGCATG